GTTTGTAAATTCCTAGGGGGAATTTTTCTTCCCCTATCTAGAGCCAGCATCAATGCCGGCAAAGTTCTGAGCCTTTGCAAGGCAGGTGCCCTCCCAAGCCCCTCTTTATTGAGGGTGTGTAGTCTCGTAGGGTCCTGGTTTGATGCAGCAGTATCGCGGAAGACTTAACTTCTTGCCATACTCCGACCCTACATTCATTTCTTGTTTTCACCTTTGCTGCTAAAAACAAAGCTCTTCATCCTTATTCATAAACACTACTCATAGACAGTTAAAGGCTTTAACCTTCATTTACCTCTTATTTACTATAACTATAGCTATTATTATTATTTTATGCCAGAGGGTGCATGTGCACAAAAGAAAGAGAAAGGGGAGAGAGAAAGCCCCCAATGGGGCCTAATCACACTGGAATCCTTTTTGCATTTTCCTCTAATTCTACATCCTGTGGGCACATACTGCACACCTAGTGTTTGTCAAGTCTTCAGGGCGAGGACTGGAATCCTCGTCGGCCTGTGGGATCTGGCTCTCTGTGCAGCCCCTACACTAGAGGGCCAGTCCAACTTCTAGTTTATACCTTTCCTGTTTAGGCAGTATAGCCTTTTTTTTTTTTTTTTCATTTAATCACATGTCTTGATGTCTTTACAGTATACATTTCTTTTTCCAACAGAAATGCCATGCATGTCAGTCAAGACAAAGATATTACTATATACATTATCATCAGCAAATAGCTTCTCATTTTTTGTCAATTAAATATACTTTTACCAGTTTTTTTCCTTCCCCTTCCTCCTCCCTCTCCCTTCCATATTAAACTTCTTTTTTTCCCCTAACATTTTATTGATTCACAAAAGGTCTTAAACTAAAAGTATGGACAAAGCTAGAATCTAGTGGTAAGTACACTGTCATTTTCTTCTGAAACATTTTTTTCCCCTCTCTCCATTCCCCTTTACTAAAGAGAGATATAAACTAACTTATTTGATCTATATCTATATCTATATCTATATGGTTAATCTCAATTTGGTCTGTTATTTGGACAAAGCCCCAGAAGAATTCAATTAATGATGCAAGGCAATAGATACTATTGTATTATTGAATTTATGCAGATAACCGTTCTGCCACAAAATAAGAATGCTCACAAATATTTTTCAATTGCAACAGGGTCGGGAAGGGATAGAAGTTTGTTTTGATTTAAAAAAACATTTTTTTTAAACAAATTGCTGAACCTATCAACAACTCAAAAGAAAACAAAAATCCTTAAATCTGGAATGTTTTAGAAAAAAGTCGTAGAATTCTGTTTCACTAGTTCAGTCTCACGTAATCTCTCTCTTGTTGAATTTGCAGTGTTACTGTGGTCTGACCTTTTCATTAAAATTCAACATTATTGTTGATATTTCAGAACTTGTCTCTACCATTAAGTTGGTCTTTTTTTTGGTCATTCTTTGTTCTCTTATTTGTCTGTCTGTCTTTAGTTTTCTAGGTATAGTACTCCCTTCAGAATTTCTCAAAGAGCTGGTCTGGTGTCGGTAAATTTTTTAGGTTTTGTTTATCTGAGAATATTTTTATCTTTTCTTCCCACATGAAGGATAATCTTGCCAGATACAGTATTTTTTGGTTGAAATTGTTTTTCACTTAACGCTTTGAATATATTTTTCCATTCTTTCCTTGTTGGTGTTGTTTCTGATGAGAGGTCTAATGTTAGCCTGGTGGGATATCCTATGAAAGTAACTTGATGTTTTTCTCTTGCCAATTTTAGTATCTTGTCTATGGTTTTGGTCAATCTGGTTATGATGTACTTTGGAGAAGATCTCCAAGGTTTATTCTTTGTGGGGTTCTTTGTATTTCTTGGGTGTGGATATTTGAATGACTCTCTAGGTTTGTAGAATTATCTTCCAGGATTTCATGGAATAGATTGTCAATACACTGATTAGTTTCTTCACCTTCTGAGATACCAATTATCTGGATGTTTGAGGGTCTAAATACTTTCAAGGGAGGTTTTGATTTCTTGTATTATAGCCTTCATCTTTAACAGTTCTATTTGATTCTTTTTTATGGTGTGTATTTCCTCTTTCAGATTGTGGAAGAACTTCCTCACCTCCTGGAACTCATTGTCTGTTTTCTCCTGCATATTTTGGAGTTCATTGTCTCTTTTCTTGCATCTCTGTCAGCTTTTTCACTATGAATATTCTAAATTCTTTATCTGACATTTACACAAGTTCCATTTTACTTCCTGTGGATGATGAAGGGCTGCTCTTTCCCCTTGGGGGAGAGAGATTTTCTTGATTTCCCATATTTCTTGTGCCTTTGTGATGGCTTCTGGTCATCCGATGGATTATACATTACTTTCTACCTTTCTGAAGTTAATTCTGAGTGTGAGAGGGGTGCAGAAGGAGATGATCTGGAGTATTTCTGCAGATCTGTTTCCCTGATCTTCACCAAGCAACCTGCACTTTTGTTGATGGAACTGGATGTTACAAAGGCCTCATAGTTTCAAGGGAATAGGTGCATCTGTGCTGATCTGCGGGGTTTCAGCTAAGAATTCAGAGGTATGAGCTGCACTCACTGCAGCTCCGTGTTTCTCCCAGCTGCTCACTTTGCAGTCTATCTTCTCTGATGTTTAGTCATTCAGTGGAATGTTCATGTTTGGCTAATTTGTTAGAAATTTCTGTTACTGTAAACTCATGCTTCACTTTACTGTCAGGTACTTCTATACCTATTTCTCTACTACAGTGTTTTGCAACGATGTATTCACAGAAAGGAATTTCAATTTAGATTTATAAAGATGAGTTTCTCCCTTTCTGTACTAGTTCATTGGGGGTTGAGGTTTACTGTGATCCTAAAAGTAGTCAGATGTTGGCTGCACCTAGACCAGCCTACTCAGTGTGTGGAAGGTGAGCAGCAAGATGAGAAAGTCAGGTAAAAGAAAGGAAACAAAGGGGAAAACAAAACAAAACAAAACAAGCAAAACAATGAAAAGGGAAGAAAACATTTTCAAGAAAAAGGCAAAAAATGAGAACTGCACAGTGTGCTAGCTTGGTGTGCAAAAGGGGCATGACTAGATTCACCTCAGATGCACATGGATTTTGAAATTTGCAAGAGAAGAGAGAGGTCAGAGACAAGAGATAGTACCTACAGGTTTTTAAAAAACATGTACACATGAAAGAGAAAAATTTTGAGAGAAAAGAAGAGGGAGATAGAAAGAGTGACAGAGAGAAAGAAGATAGAAACCACCTTTCCTGTCTTTTCATTGGGTGTTGGGCTGGAAGGAGAGGTTTAGGGCAGAGGCTTTCTAGTTAAAGAGCTAGGCAGTACAACCTTTGGAAAGGGCATATATCCCAGTAGCTAGTCATGTTGGCTGTGTGGTCAGATCACTGACCTGCAGCCTCAGCTCTACTGTCTGCTAGCAGCTTGCCCTTGTGTGGATCTCTTTATTTATTTATATATATATATATATTTATATATATAAATAAATAAAATATATATACATATTATATATAATGTGTATATAGTATTTATAATATGTGTGTGTGTATATATATATATGCGTGTGTGTGTGTATGTATATTTAAGATATTTTTGCTATAGGGCACATGTGCTCACTGGAGAGACAGATAGAAAGAGAAATCACTCCCCGGGAAGATGGCCATGTTGCAGTCTTGTCTCCTCCATTCTTCTCTCCAGATTTTGGACGCACGCACATGCACACGCACCAGGTGCGAGTTTCAAGCCACCAGGTTTGGGACTTGGACTGCAGTTGGCCATGTGGGAGTCCAGTGATATAACCATTATGCCATCTGCTGGTCCCTTAAAGCTTATTTATTTCTTTCATGAGAGTCAGAGACAGAAACAGAGAGACAAGTACTCTCAACAGGGTCCCCACTGTTATCTGCCCCAGTCCTCCTTGCCAGCCAGGATCATGTGTGTACATGCCTGGTGTGATACCAGGAACTGAACTCATGCTCTGCCGTATTGATCCAGCTCTGCTCAGGCAGTGCGTTATCTCTGCATGATCGAGCCGGACCTTGCACAGATTTTTTACTTCCTCTAGGCTTCTGTTTCCCATCTGTGGAGACCAGAGTCTTGGCCTCAGAGGGTTATGAAGACTTAATCTCCTGCTGTATCAAGAACTTGATACAGGGTCTGGCTCACCCAGTGAATACTCAGTATATGTTAACTGTTGGTATTTTGGGCTTCTAAGGATTTCCTTCGTTTTTTTTTTTGTTGTTGTTGTTCTTTTTTTTAATAGTGGAACAAAGCTTTCATAGGGTAAAATGGAGGTACAAAGTAGGGGGAAATGAAAGTGAAAGTATACACTTGGGCTGTAACAGTGGGCTGGCTCCAAGGAATAATCCCAGTTACTTTCTTACCAACTCAGTGATGCATTTGTATGTGGGTGTTTTGGGTTTTTTTAGAGAGATTTTTACTATAGGGAGTGTACACTCGCTGAAGCAACAGAGAGCTCTATTGTCTGGTACGCTCCACTACCTGTTTGCCCTTGTATGGGTTTCTTTCTTTTTAAAATATTTTTCAAAGCTTATTTATTTCTTTCATGAGAGTGAAAAGGATTGACCATGCTGCAATCCCTTCTCATCCATTCTCCTTGTGGGACTTTGGGCACTCATGCATGCACATGCACCTGATGTTAGTTTCAAGCCACCAGGTCCAGGACTTGAACCGCGATTGGCCATGTGAGAGTTAAGTGCGTAACCATTATGTCATCTGGTGGTCCCAAGTGATGTGTTTTAAAATAATATTTTAACCATAATTTATTGGTTTTGTAGTCAGAGAGATTTTTGTGATAACTAACCTTCCATATTAACTTGATTGTATTATTTTTGCACACCAAAACCAATCTTAAAAAGCAGTCTCCTTACCTCTAGAATCTTAAAATGCACACGTCACATTTACACTCACTGTTGTCAGCTGTGTGTTCTCAGGCATGGAGGCCGAGGGGCCTGTATTGGTCTGGCTGGTAGAGTTTTCAGTCTGCTTCTCATTTCCCTTCACAGGGTCCTGTGCTCTGAGTTGGGCAGTAGCTTTCACTCAGATTGTCTGAACTTTGACTCCATGATGTTCGGCACTTCCCGGGCTCGCCGCCTCTCCACGGCCTCCTCAGTCACCAAGCCTCCACACTTTATCCTCACCACTGACTGGGTTTGGTACTGGATGGACGAGTATGACTCTTGGCAAGAATACGGGAAACAAGTAAGTGTGAAGAAAGGAGGGGTTTCACTGACCCTCCTTTGTGGAGGAGCCATCCTAAACTCAAGCACAAGCTCATGGATGCTCCTGGGGCATCCTGAGAGAGCCAGAGATCCCCGGCCCTGTAGAACTCTGGCACTTAGGGAATTACGGCAAAACTAGATGATTTGGACTTATTTGAGCTTCCATCTTGATGATTTGATATCTCTTGGCTCGTGAGAGCATAATGACAAAAAAAAAAATGTAGTGTCGGGCTGGCAGGTGGTGTGGCAGGTAAGGGTACTGGACTCCCACATGGCCGATTGCGGTTCGAGTCCCGGACCTGGTGGCTTGCCTTCTCACTTTCTCTCTCTCTGTCTCTGTATCGCTGTCTCTCTCTCGTCAAATTAAAATAAATAAAGTTAAATAAAATAATTCTTCAAAAAAATTGTAGTGAGAACAAGCTTCTTCACTCGTTTTGTTAGTCGGGGTAGAAAGATGCCGCTCTCTCCTCTATTCAAGAAAACTGCAGAACTCGTGCCTGTGTATACAGATGTGTTTGTGTAGCTTCAGTGTGAAGCTTAAGGCTTTCCAAACTGGTTTTCCGCTATTTCTGCAACTTCTCAGGAGGTGAGCAAGTACGAGAACATTGATCTATATCAGGTATTGATTTGGAATCCAGATCAGGTAACTGTTGCTGTCTGTTATTTGATAGACTAGATTAAGGGGAATCTCTTGGCCACTTGTATACACAAGTATAGGGAAGCCATCATTTATGTAGGGACCCCTCTCCAAAATAAAGATTGAGATACACCTGGTCTGATATGTGTAGTCTTCCGGGTTCTAAGACACTGTGCTGAACTCGAGTTTCCTGTTGTTCACTGTAAGCGGCCACACTCTAATGTGAGCTCTGTGTGGGGTGGGAGGTTGGGCTGTCTTTTGGCAACAGGTTACCCCCAGGCCTAGAACGTTGTGTAGCAAGTCCCCAGGAAGTACACACTGGCCCATTAAAGGAGAAAGGCTTTGCCACCCCATATATGTGGGTCCTGGTGGTGGCCTCACGAACCCTCTACCTTGCTTTTTCTTGGTACCAGCCTGTCATTTCCTGCCACCTCACCCAGCCCCTCTTTCCCAGCCATCTCACTCCTTTCTCAGTATCCTGGGACTTTGCCCCCTCCCCACACTGGGTCATGTGAGCCTTGCTCAGACAGGTTCTCTGGCTTTGGTGGAGAGCACAAGAACTGATCTGACGTGGAGAGGGAGAGGACGTGTGGCTAATTGGACTCTGTGAATCTAGATGACCTGGGAATAAGCTGGAGGGCTGGCGAAATGTTCTTTGCAAACACAACAGTCACATTTTGTTCAATGAACTATCTGGCTTTGAGGGGGAGGTAGGGGCAAGCCCTGGTGGGTAAACAGGGTGCTCCAGGGCTCTGGGGCCACCTGTACCAGTAATAAGGTTCCCTGGGTGGCTTCTCAAGCACAGCATAGGGATAGGGGGCTCAGACCTCTCTGAACAGCCACCCTGTGTATGTTCTTCCATACTGCAATGTACACGCTTATTTAGAACAGTCTGAGACTCTGGGGATGCCGGTTTGTGGGCATTGATGAAACGCCACATACTGGGGACTGTAGAGACACGTGGGTAGACTTGGTGAGTTCCGACTGTGGGATCTCCTTTCCTAACAGTGTCACAGGACGAACTGCCAATTCTTGGCCTTCCCTTCTCGCACATTTCTGTGTAAGCCCCGATTTGGGTTTCTTAGGTTTCTGCTATTTGCCAGTTTCAGGCAGTTTATTCTCAGAAAAACTAAGTTCTTTTCTGTCTGAGCCAGGGTGTACACCAAGATTTCATGTTGGAATCAGATACCTGCTGGTCCTGCCATGGACATGCGGGAGCTTCTCGTTGCTTCCCGGTCATGTCAGGGCCTCGGGTACCAGCCTCAGGCCTTCTTGGTTGAAAATCTAGCATGGTTGCTGCTGTTACTTTCCCCTTGCAGCCCCTCTGCTGGGGCCCAGCCACCTGCGTCTTCTCTTCTGCGTCTTCTCGTTCCCTGTGACATCCATCTTGGGGGCTTGGTAAGGTGGGGGGCGTGGGTTAGATGTGTCTGTCTCTCTGCTCATCCCCCTTTCTATTCCTCTCCACTCCTTCCTCCTTTTTTTCAGGCCAAAAGGGAAGGTTTTTCTTCTCCTTTCCCTTTGTTACTTGGAGGAGATTTCTGTACTACATCTGCTTTCTCCCTACTCTATTTTAATGGCATAGTTTCTAAGGAGAGCAGAGTTCAGGAGGAGAAACTTGGGCACCAGTGTGTCTCTCTGCTCATCCCCCTTTCTATTCCTCTCCACTCCTTCCTCCTTTTTTTCAGGCCAAAAGGGAAGGTTTTTCTTCTCCTTTCCCTTTGTTACTTGGAGGAGATTTCTGTACTACATCTGCTTTCTCCCTACTCTATTTTAATGGCATAGTTTCTAAGGAGAGCAGAGTTCAGGAGGAGAAACTTGGGCACCAGTGTAAGGCCATAAACTAGGAGGCTGCTTCTCAGATCGTGTACCCATCACACGTTCCCCCATGGCCTTCATCACACCCTCCCCCCTGGCCTTCATCACACCCTCCCCCGTGGCCATTATCACACACACTCCCCCGTGGCCTTCATCACACCCTCCCCCATG